AGCAAGCATTATAAACCACTAATAAAACCTCTTCTGGCAGAGTCCACAGGCATTAAGTTGAATCCTGTGTAGTTTGGACTTTGTTTTTCTTCTTTTTCTTCTTAAGATTTTTAAAAGTTGATTTTTACAGAGAGAGGAAGGAAAAGGGAAGGAGAGAGAGAAACATTAATGTGAAAATGAAACATAGATCAGCTGCCTCTTACCGGGCCCCGACTGGGGATTGAGCCCACAACCTGGGCATGTGCCCTGACTGGGAATCAACCGGCAACCTTTCTGCGCACGGGACAAGGCCTAACCAACTGAGCCACACCGGCCAGGGCATATTTTTCTTCTTCTACTGTCCGATTTTGAAGGGAACTCCTAGGGATTTCTCCCCAAACAATTATCCAGATAATTCCCAATAAAAATTAGGCCCCAAAATCTACTTCCATCAAGAGTCATAGCCAAGGCCTAGTCCAGAACCAGCTTAGGCACCAGAGCCTGGTGAGAAGGCAGAGGTCGAAGCAGAGACAGACCTGCCTCGATGGGCCACCCCAAACAGCTTAGAAGCTAACTCTGTCGTTTGTCATTTGTGGAACTCGTGGGCCATTCCCTAGGACCAATTCATGATCACCGAGGCCATAACCTGAACCCACGAGAGTCAAGTGCAGTCCACACCTTCTCCTCAGAAGGGCTGCCAATGACTCCACAGGGCGAGTGCCCCACAAAGAAACAATTCCCTCTGTCCTTGCACGGTTCGGAATTTTAGTTCCTCTTTATTCTTCCCTCAGTAGATGTTCAGCTATTCACATTTAACTTTCAGTTTCTTACTTTCTGTCTCCTCCAAATTACACCAGCTGGAAGATGGCAACGTAGGTAAATACCTGTGCTCGCCGCATCCCACAACCACATCAAAATTATAACTAAAATACAGAACAATCATCCAGAACCGCTGGAAAGCTGGTTGAAGTCCTACAACTAGAGAAGTAAAGAAGGAAGCACACTGAGACTGGGGAGGTGCGGAGGCGTGGAACGGACTGGTCCCGCACCCACGTGTGCCGCTTTTTTATTCGGGAGGGAGATAGTCTCTGCAGAGGCGCCCGGAGGAGCAAGGGGTCCCAGCCCCACACCAGACCCCCAGCCCAGGGTCCCAGAGCAGGAAAAAGAAGTCCCTACGGACAGTAAGAACTATGGGCTGTAAAAACCAGTGTGGATTGGGGCTCAGTGACACAAAGGCTGCTGGAGACCCAGCTGTTCCTCTTAAAAGGCCAGCACCACGAACTGAACTTACAAGGTCCCACTTCCTCTGGGCTCCAGCACCAGGGAGAGGCTTAGGGGGACACAGACACATATGAGGGGGAGCTGGATTTGCTGGCATCAGGGCAGGAACTCGGGGGAGGCTTTCTCCCAGATGGAGGTGCTCCAGGGATCATTGTTCCTATGCTGGGACCTCCTTGATCACAGGGCTGACTGGCAGCCATTTCTGTTTGCTCCGCCCTGGTGACTCCCTGATACCCCGCCTCATCCAATTTACAACCCCACCAAAGCTGTGTGCAGCAGCTTTTTGCATATGAATGGCCTTTTCTTGCTCAGGGTAAAATCTCTCAAACAAGCTAGATCCCCAGTAGGGGGCATGCAGAAGACAGCTGATTGATGATTCTCTCTCATCATTGATGTTTCTCTCTCTCTCTCCCTCTCCCTTCCTCTTTGAAATCAATGGAAATAGTTTTTCAGAAAAGTATCAACAAGGCAGTAGAAAGATCACTGTATTACAAAGAAACAAGTGGGGCTGGCCTCAGACTTCTCCATCAAATCTATACATGTGATTAAATTACACAGAACGACTACTACTAAATACACACATGCACATATACACGATGTTTACATAAAAGAACTGGTGAAATCTGAACAAGGTTTGCACTTCAGTTAACAGTACTGCACAGTGTCGAATGCTTTGTTTTGATATTAGTCTGAACTTATATAAAATGTTATCACCAGGGGGAAGTTGGGGAAGGGTACATGTCTCTACTATCTTGGCAACTTCCTGTGACTCGACAATTTATTTGTGACAGAATCGTAACAGGTTCTTGTAAACCTCAATTCCAAACTTGGAACGAAAGGTAAATAAATCAACTTAACACCTAATCACCTAAAAGGACCAGACGGGTGGATATTCAATCACTTCCACATCGATTCCAACAGTCGTGTTCAACTATCGCTGAGAACAGCAGAAATCCCTGCACAAAGCTGTCGCCACACACAACCCCAGCCGACTGAGAAGCTTAAGTAAGAAGTTAACACTCTTGGCTTAACCTCACCGAAAATTACTTGTTTGCAGACAAATTATCCACCGGGGACACTTTTTCATTTGTGGAGACCTGCTCTGCCTCCCTCCCTTCCCTTCTCCCAACCCAAACAGGCAGCATGTGAAGAACTGTCACGGTCCCGTGCAATCAGGACCTTCCGTACAACAAAGACCTTCCAGCCCAGCCGGCGTGGCTCGGTGGTTGAGCGTCGACCCATGAACCAGGCCGTGGTTCGATTCCCAGTCAGGGCCTGTGCCTGGAGGCAGCCAATTGATGATTCTCTCTCATCATTGATGTTTCTCTCCCTCTCCCTTCCTCTCTGAAATCAATGAAAACATATTTAAAAAATAAATACACAAAGAAAGAACTTCCGTAAGAGGGCTGACTTACCCTGTCCCAGCTGAAACACAGGCCCAGGCGGTCAAGCTGCTTCCGCATGTACTTAATGTTACTGTGAAGTAGAGGGAAGAAAGTTTGGGTTTAGAGAGGGGGAAAGCCGTAAACAAACTATACTTTGAGAATGGGAAGGGAAAGGGGAAAAACCTAGATTATTCCAAAGGGCTCGAAGTGTCGTTTTGCCCTGGCCCCCAAAAATCACTAAGAATCAATGAAAATGCCAGCATATTGGAAGATACTGACTCTCTGGACTCAGACAGGATCTACTAGAAACCACAATGGTCTTTGGCCCTGGGATGGGCCTTCCTCTGGCCACTCAGGTGGGCAACGCCTTTGCTATGTGCACTCCTGGCCCATCCACATGGGGCGGGCAAAAGTAGTATTCGAAACAGAGTTTACTCTTGTATTACTGATTATTAATTATTGTGTTATTCACCATACAAACAACTGTAAACCCACTTTTGCCCCACCCTGTATGTCTGTATTCTGCACGGAGTTAAGCCAGGCATTTAGCATAAAATCCACTGAAGAGAAAAAAAACCTTAACAGACGAACTGTGGGAATCCACGTACACGGGTGTTTGAATGTCTGTAAAACACACCTTTGCGTCCAACTGTCTGGATGTAGGTTCCTCTCAATGGCGGCGTTTTCGGCAGGCAGTCCGAACGCATCCCACCCCATGGGGTTGATGACCTAGGACCAGAAGGGAAGCGTCAGGCATGGCGGACGGTGAAGACCGAGATCCGTGTCCTCTCTGGGTGATTAGCAGGCATTCTCTTCTACTAACATGCCTGACCCTTCTTCCCCGGGTGAGTTCAAAATGTGCTCTGGGAAGCCAGCCAGCTACCTCTGCCATACCGAGGACTTAGCAGGTTACACACCAAGGCATCTATGGTGACTCTGAGTGGGTGTTTTCATTACTGCATCTCAGGGTTGTCGGTCAGGATGTCTCTCTCTCTCTCCCTCTCTTTTTCTCTCTCCCTCCCTCCCTCCCTCCCTCCCTCTCTGCCTCTCTACCTCCCTCCCTCCCTTCCACTCTCTCTGAAAAGCAATGAAGAAAATATCCTCAGGTGAGGATTAACAAAAAAAAAGTCCTAGCAGCTGAAATCAGAAAATCTAGAAAATAAACTTTCGGAGCATGAAAAATCATGTCTAGCTCTTCTTCTAACAAATACTCTAAGTAGTTAAAATGGAGTGAGAAGCCGAGCGGACAGACGCCGCCACCCATCCGATCTGGACAGAAGGCTGGAAGGGGGAAGCAGAGTTATCAGAGCTCGAAGGCCCAGATCGGCTGCTGAAGCTGAAATAGGCAGGTCTGCCCAGACGGAACTGGATTAATGAAGGAGGCACTACCCAGACCAGAGAGCAATTCCCTGGCTTCCCCTTTCCTCCTGCCACCCCCCCCCCCCCCACTTTGGCCAGAATTTCTTATTTCCCAAAACCAGCCAGAGGCCAGCTGACACCAGAGCTTGGGAAACGTGGCTTCAAGGGGTCTGCCCTTCTGCCATTCAAAGCAAAGCAGGGGATGGGTCTGACAGCAAACTGGCCAAGGACCAGCACAGGAGCATCAGTAGGACTGCAAAATCTCCCAGGACTTGAGACATCACAGAGGAATTGGGACCAGTTACTGATGAAGGACAAACACAGGGATCAGAGCCCTGGCAGGTCAGAGCAGAGCTGGCCAGGAGATGAGGCCTGGGAGCGGGTCTAGGCCAGCCTCTGGTGTGGACACAGTCACATGATCACAGCTCACCCTCCTGCCTCCCTCCAGGCATAGCCACCAGCATCTCAGGGTTGTCGGGCAAGATGGACAGCAAGGTGGCCAGGAGAAGGGACACAGGGGACAGCACAGCTACATATGACGATGTACAGACAAGGCTCTGGAGGGATGGACCGGAAAGCATCAGGGATTACTGCCCAGAAGGGCCTGGTGAGGCAGGGAGTGGCCAAAGGAGACTGCAGTCTTATATATGCATATGTATATTCAAGGGGGAATATGGAATTTTATGTTCAATTTTAAAATACTTTTCTTTCAAAAGGAAAAAAAAAAAAAAAGAACAACCAAAGGTACAGTTCTTGGCCGGTCAGAGTGGCTCAGTGGTTGAGCATAGACCCATGAACCAGTAGGTCAGGATTCGATTCCCGGTCAGGGCGCATGCCCATGTTGCAGGCTCGATCCCAGGAGAGGGCGTGCAGGAGGCAGCCGGTGGATGTTTCTCTCTCAGCATTGATGTTTCTATCTCTCTTTCCCCTCCTCTCTCTGAAATCAATAAATATAATTTTAAAAAGTACAGTTCTTCCTCCAACACAGGAAGTATGATCAGAAGACTTTGGAGGGAGACCAGGAAGCTGGGGCAGCCGGCCGGCTGGTTCCCAATGGAGCGAGGAGCACAACCGTTACCACAAAAGGGGCAACGGGTTTCCTCAGAGTGATCGGCTTTCTCTCCCTGTCATCCCTGTCATCGTAAAACGAAACTTTAGATCTGAAACCAACGTGGCTTCTAATTGACAGCAACCATGGTTACTGCTTCTCAAGAAGCTGCTATTTTCAGAGAGTGCCATGGTTTCTCTGGAGTAGGTGCAATCGTTTACTTCTAAGAAATGCGAAACACAGTATTTCCTTTTGTCTAGCAAGTGTAATAACCCACCGAGATTATAGATTGGGGATCAAATTCAAGCCAATACTTCAGGGTAAAAAACATCCCAGTGACAGCACGGAGGCCCAAGCAGGAGACCTCCCCTGAGAAGGTGAGGGATGTGACGGGCCGAGATCGGCCAGTTCCCAGTCAGGACCCTGGACCAGCAATTCATTCTCTCCCTCAAACTGCATCTGAGAGGATACGCTCCTACTCTGCTTCCAGGCGCTGCAGAGATGTGCACATGGGAAACTCAGGGCCAAGTTGTGTGCTGAGGGGCAAACTGGAAACTGATGAAACACATATTATGGTTCACACAGGTGACTATGTGGTGATCACACAGCTGCCGGACACCTCCATGTCCTTCCTCTTCCTCAGGGAACAGCAGTGCCCGGAGGCTTTCTGCCTGAGACAAATTAGCCCCTGTGTGAGGGAGACTTGGCACGTTGATGCTAATCACCCGATGCTTTAATCTGGCCCAGAAGGTGCTGGGGAGACCGGCCCAAGGTGGGAGGAGGGTAATTTTATTTTCCAACCATCTGTGCATACAACAGACGAAAACACAACAAAATCACCATATGGAGCTGAGCTGTAAATGTGTCATCAGACACTGCGGGTTTACAGAGCAGCCCCTTTCTGATTCCTGAATGAGCAGCCCTTTCTGATTCCTGACTGAGGGTAAATTGATCTCTGGCTTAGAGCAGCCCCTGCTCCACATCTAATCCTCAGCACCACCTTATTAATGCTCCTATTAATTGGGTTACACGGGGAAACTGCATTAGAGTTTTTAAAGGGTTTTCTCATTGATTATCTCACAGGAACTTTGCAACCAATCTGAGGTGGGAGGCGGTCAGCCACTATTGTTGACTAAAGTCCCTGATTCCTGATCGATTCGTCACCCTCAAGCCTCCGAGCTTCCATTGGTAAAGGCCACATGTGATCTACACCCATGGAGGTCCCCGGTGACCCTGAACAGAGCAGACTTGGTGCACGGGTCACTCCATATGTTTTACTTCCCATAGTGCTGTCCTTAGTGTGCCTGAGAATTGCTTCACAATTTCCATGTAAGAACAAAGCAAACCAACCAACAAATTTACAAGTTACAGAAAAAGGCAGAGCTTGCTGAATATTCCTTGGGCCTACTGACTGATTTTGAACCCAAGACTCCAATACAGTTGTCCACTGAACAATGTGGATTTGAACTGTGAAGGTCCACTGATACACAGACTTTTTGTCAATAAATACACCCCATATTCCTGGGTTTTGCACCTATGGATTCAACCAACTGCAATGCAGAGGGCTGACTATGCATTGTTCCACAGCATTTATACAAGGGTCTTGAGCATCTGTGGATTTCAGTATCTATGGGGGTCCTGGGACCAATCCACTACACATACCGAGGGATGATTGTAGTTTAGTTTTGGGGGACTTAACAGCTATGCTTGGATTTTCAACTGCACTGGGGCAGGTGGGGGTAGCCCCTAACTCCCGTGTTGTTCAAGGGTTAACTGTGTTTGTATTTAATGCAGCAGAAAGCCCAGTGTTTAGAATAAAGCTGGTACTTAATGACTATTTATCGAAAGAATTTATCAATACATGTGTCAGACCCAATTATTCTAGGTTAGATATTCCTTCCCTCCTTAGCGTGAGGATCATTGAACTTGACCTGAAACCAATCCTGCTCTCTCTCTCTCTGGGACTAGACTTGACATTGGAAAGAAGGATTTTAAAACAACAGGAAACTCAACAGGCTTTCACACTGTTGACAATTTTTTTTACACTGAGATTTCTGTTTCTCTTTTGCCATATCACTTAAAAATGGCAGGACAAGTTTTCACCAAATTTGGCAGTAATATTTGGGACAATCTGACTTAACTATGAGCTATGAAAATTAACAAGAAATTAATTTCAGCCCTGACTGGTTTGGCTCAGTGGATAGAGCGTCGGCCTGCAGACTGAAGGGTCCCAGGTTCGATTCCGGCCAAGGGCATGGGCCTTGGTTGCGGGCACATCCCCAGTGGGAGGTGTGCGAGAGGCAGCTGATCGATGTTTCTCTCTCATCGATGTTTCTAACTCTCTATCCCTCTCTCTTCCTCTCTGTGTAAAATCAATAAAATATTTTTTTTTCAAAAAGAAATTAATTTCAGGGAAACCTGGTGGATACCCCCAAAAGGGAGCTTATCATCTGAAATGGAGGAACACAGAGAACCCTACGCGCCTGCTGATCACACAGACTAAGACACCGTAAACCACATAACGAATAGTGGTTTCAGGCACCACTCCAGCCGCAGGATAACGCAGACTGCAGGCAATGATGTGCAGTTCAGATGCTCTTCGGAAGGCAACTTCATGCAGTGCGCTCCAGACAGCGGAGAACGGGGACTCACTTATTCCGTGGAGATGAATGCCTCCCCAGAGTAAACCAGATCAGGATAAATCATAATCACAGCTGC